ATAGCTCCTGTTGGCAGTGGTGTTCTCTTCCCTGGGAGAGCTTTTGTGGTCTCTTGTGGGTTCAGACAGAGTGCCCTAAACAGAATGTATGTAACAATTTTGGCACAGCTTTAGAGATGTCTTTGGAGAATTTATTGTGAAAATTTAGTCAGTTCAAGAAACTGTATGATAATAATGTCTTACTGAAATTCCTAGCCTTTGTGTCAGTTCTCTTGCTTTTCTAAGATTACTTCCCTCATGAGTGTCAATCCTGTATATTTTAAACCTTTTGAGGTTAAAAGTTTTACTCAAGGAGCAAAAGTAGCTAAGTGGCAAAACTCTCTTAACTAGTCCCTCGAGGATCTCTGTAATGTATGAAGTGGATCAGGTGGAAAGTATTTATTTTAGGACACTCATGTAATTAGTAGGATCTTGCTAATATTAGGTATAGTACAGACTAATGACAATAGGAAGATACAGTTATTTGAACTTGAAGGAATTATGAAAAGATTACTGTTACCTTCATGATAAATGAATGGGTTTCCTAAGGATGCTTGTGCTATGCAAGGGTTTGTGTGAGGGTTGCCTTTGTTCCTGTGAGGATTTATGGTATCTGTCAGTCTTTGGAATAGGGTCAGTGTGCTAAATATGTCAGTGGTGGGAATTCTTGTGCTGTGAAAGTCTTGGAGAAAACAGCTGTCTGAGAGCATTGAAGGTCACCTGGGCATGTGTGCTGCCAACCTCTTCGTTGATAGAGTCACTGCAGCTTATTACAGTCACTGATAGAGGGTCTCCTACTGTGGTGGGAGAAGCAAGGCTGTCTTACCTAAGTAAATATCAAAATGTACTTGAAAATTGAAATTTTGCCAGAAGGCAGTAAAACCATTCATGACATTAGCAGCCTGGGGCTTGTCTGAGGAGTCAGGGAACCCAAATTTTGCCTCCAAGATGAGGCATCAGCAAATCCAGCTCTCCCTGCCTCACTCCTCCACCCTTCAACACTCTCCCCCCCAAGCAGCAGAATCCTGCTTCTTATTTTCAGCATAAGCAGATGGTCAAGTAACTTTAAAGCCAAATATTGTGTCCTTACATTTTGTATTTCAAGTTCACAGTTTGTTAGTACAGGTTGATTGTATGAACTTCAAGTGGGTTGCAGGAATGTTTTTGTTTGCGTTAAATGTAATAGAAATATTCAAATGTTGTGGTCTGTGTATGTCTATGTTTTCTTGTTTGTTGATACCAAAACAGGGCAATGCATCAGTAAGACAAAATATGTATTGAAGAAGTAATGATCTTTTTTTTCTTTGCTTGTAAATTCCCTAAATAGTAACACTCAAATTAAAAAAAAATCCAACAAACAAACAAAACCCAAAAAACAATCCAAAACTTGGTGCATTTGTCTAGTGTTTCAAAACATTTTGAGAAGGGAAAGTTTCAGAAGAACTTATGAGCAAAATGTAGAGAATCAGTGCTTTGCAGTTCCATAATGCACTTACTTTAAACCAACCTTCTTTACCCTTTTCAGCTTTGTCATTGTGTTCTTCTGCATCATCTCTTGCTGTTGTCAGGGATGATTCGCTTTGCAGACTCGCTTCTGTTTCATTCTTTCAGAGGTTGGCCTAAAGAGCAAGGGTGAGGTAGAAGGTGATCTTTGCCCAACACCACACTGACCATGGTGTAGACAAGGACATGATGCCCAGTCTCCAATTAGTCTTACCTGCATTCTGGTGCAATGGTTGTTTCTTCTGCTTTATCTTGATACTGCTGTCAAACTTGTATTCTAGGTTTTTGCATATCCTTTGCTTCTCTATTTTTGTAGTGGATGTGCAGTTAAGTCTTTGTCTTGTTTAATAAAACTGCTTGCTTTAAACCATGCACATTTACTTATAGGGCTGTTGATGAACATGAAATTTGGATGTATAGCCAAAATGTTCTTCACAATTCAAGATGTTTTAATCTTTGCTAATAATTTTCTTCCTTGTCTTGAGCCTTCTTAAAAAATGAAACAATCTAATTGCATGTGTTGTTGCATTGTCTAATACTATCAGTTTAGTGGGATGTTGCTGTGAGAGCGTGTGAAAGAATGACTTTTATTTTTCCTGACTCTTTGCATCTTTCAGATGTGAGTTCTGGGCATTTTCTATGCATTATGGCATTTTTTTTAGTAAATAATAGTTTGATATCTTAGGTAGAATCATAGAGTGGTTTGAGTTGGAAGGGACCCTGAAGATCATCTAGTTCTAACTCCCCTGCCCGTGGACAGGGACACATTCCACTGAACCAGGTTACTTAGAGCCAGATCCAGCCTGGCCTTGAACACTTTCAGGGATGGGGAGTCCACAACCTCTTTGGGCGACCTGTTCCAGTGCCTCACCACCCTCACAGCAAACAATTTCTTCCATATACCTAATCTAAACTTTCCCTCCTTCAGTTTAAGGCCATTCCCCCTTGTCCTATTTACTATGTGCCCTTGTGAAAAGTCACTCTCCAGCTTCCTTGTAAGCCTGGTTGTAAACTTCTGGGGCAATATGCTGTTTAGTGTTCTGTGGATGCAGACCTATAAAAATAATAATTTCTATTGGTTTAGATTAATTTTACTATGCTTTCTGCATATTTCCTGCCTCGTAGCTGCAGTCACGAGGCAGGATGCTTTGTGAAAGATGTAATTTGCAACCTGCTCTGACAGGTTACAGTACATGATGACAGACTTAAGGCACTTTCCTTGATCTTGACAGCACTCCAAATTAATTTATGTTATTCATTACAAGGATTGCTTGGTGTCTTAATCTCTTGAAATAACTTCTTTTTCTCTAGAAGCAACTCAGAGTAGACACAATTACACATATCTTTGTGCAGGAGACAACTGAAAGTCCATTATACTGATGTATCTGTTATGAATCAGATCTTCCTGATTTATCAATGGTGGATGAGTTTGAACCTTGTATTCTGTGTATGGATGTTGTAATTTTTTATGTGAGGGAATAAGCAGTACCACATTTCTTGTTGTGAAATGTGTTTAAAATTTTTCTCAGGCCTTTGTTGTTTGGGGTTTTTTTTCTGCAAAATGGGAAATAACTTTAAAATATTTTAAGGAAAAGCTAGAGAAGCTGATGACATCAGTGTTACTATGTATTTACACAATTTTATTTTGGTCTCTTTATGTCCAACATGATGCATTTCTGAAAACAGCATGATAAGACCTCCTTGAAAAGGTTTAAAAGGGGTGAAAACCCATTTTATTTCTTTATTTTATTAAAGATTCTGGAAATCTCTTCTCTTTGACTTAGGGGAAAAAAACAGAAGCTTGTTTGGTTGAAGGAGATACAGAGCTGTTGGCTTATTTCTAGTGCTTTCTTTAAAATAATTGAAAGCAGGTCTTTGGAATGAAAAGGAACTCTTGCCAAAGATCTGCAAATGTAAATTCTGTTCAAGGCAAAGGAAAAGCTTTTCTGCAATCATCTTGGTGGACTTTGTTTCCGTCAATCAGAAACACTGTCTAGGCTTGTTGTAGGTAAGTGCTGCATAAATAGGAGAGTACAAACAAATTGGTATGCATTCACACTTATCTCTAATTTGCATTTGAGTATTTTGAACACAAACTACTCATTTGAATCATGTTCTCTGGTGCTTTTTTCCCCTGTGTAAATGTAAGTATAGGCTAATAGCTAATGGCCTATCCTTACTAAGCTTATAGCATTTTAAAACTTTTTATGCTCCATCTTATGCAAAATACTACATTGTTTAAATCACACATTTCTGATGCCAGAAAAGATGTATCTGCCCTGTAGGAGTCCAGAGATGATTCTGAAAAATTAGTTCTTTCTTACTGTCAGTGCCAGACAAAAGCTTGGATTGCTTTGCCTTAAGAGAAGTCAAATATCTTCAGGTTACTATTCCAGAATTAAATTGCTCTAAATTTAAGTAATGTGATATAATGTGTTCCAGATATTTCCTTCCAAGCTTCTAGGTGTCTTCCTGATGTTAATTTCTAAATAAGTTTCAAACAGGACTTTATTCAAGGGTTCCTGAATCCAGGATGTAACTAGCTGCAGGAGGGGTTCAGTGGTTACCTGAATCCTTCTGTAGTATTTGCTTGCAATACAGGCTATAGTGTCGGAAGATATAGGAACTGTTTTGTGCCAAATAGGATGTGAATTGCAAAGGTTTATTTTTCTATTTGGATTTTAAAAAATTGAATGATATTATTAGGGTATCTTTTGCATAGAGAAGTAGTGGATATACCTCAGTTAACTTATGGTTGCTAAAAGTGCCTTTGAGTGTTAGTTTACCTTGCATTTACTGAAAATTAGCTATGAGAGTCTCTACTAATGACTAGTGCAAACTAGCAGTTGTGGGTTTAGTCCAAGATATATTTTATTTCTCAGTCTCTCATGACCCTTAACTGCTTTGTTTTGTGTCTTCCAAGGCTGTGGTTGGTACAAGTTGAAGAAGTCAGGCAGAGTCTAGCACTGTTACTACTTTGTTGTATTATGTTAATAAGATTATGGCAAAATGTTGTTAGGTAAATAAAAATTATTTCTCCCATTATTCAGATAATTCTTATTTCTAATGGTCTGGAGTAGAAAAGGTTTTAATTTTCTTCTAAATTTGGTGGTTAATGGTAAGAAAAAAAATAATTTTTATACAGGAATCTTCAATGTGAGTGAAGTGAAAACTTCTGTGAGAACAGCTTATTTCTTGGATATCATAGATAGCATATTTAAGAATTGTCCAATATTCTATGGAGTTTCAGTTGATAAAGGAGGATTCGTTCAGAACTGCTATATTGAGTGTTAGCACTGTGATAATGAAGGCCAGGTAATGTATTTAGCACCTGTGTGTTCCTCACACATCACAAATGTGAGAAACTGCACAAAAAAAGTATGAAGCAAAATGGATATAGAGGGCAGGAAAGTCTGCATTTGCTTAAAATGATAATTGATATATAAGCTTCAAGATTTTTTCCTGAAATTAATGGATTGTATTAATTGGACTTTTCTAATGGCTTTCTTCTTCCCTAGGCACGAGCTTTAACACCTCAGACAGCAGAAACAGATGCAATAAGATTTTTGGTTGGAACACAGTCTCTTAGATATGATAATCAGGTAATTTTTCTGTCAAATGTCTGTTGGAATCTTTCCCTCTTTTTTAACATTGTTCCAATATCATTCCTGTTCCTTACTCCCCCCTGTTGAATTTGAACATTAAATTATAGTCAAGTTGAAGACTTCTCTGAGTAACAAGTAAGATGCAGGTAAGAAATGTAAGTGAATGAAAATTGTGTGTATTTTCTGAACATTAAATTGCTCTACTGAACTGTATGACTAAATCAGGTTGGTTTAGTAAATAAACTGCCATATTTTTGTTAATTTTAATCTATAGATTCTCTGGAGCTGTCTTTAAACCACAGAAAAGACCTAAAGTAAAACAAAAGTATTTAAGCCTTAATTGCCTCTAATGGGACTCCTGATACATGAACAGTTCAGTGTATGTGAAGGTTCATAAACTGAACTTTTTTGTTATTAGTTATTGGCAGTCAGCAGTGTCCTTTCTGATGTAAAGTTTAACAATTCAAACTAAACTTTGAGTCACTTTCATGGCTCAATATTTGCTGGGCTGTTTCTTCTGCAGTTAAGAGTGCAAGACTTTTATTTGTAAAGCAGTTTTAATTTTTGTGACTAAATTTCAGTAAAATTCATACTGAAACAAATTTTTGAGGCTAGAAGAGTTAGAAAGCTGTAGTGAGTGCAGGTGACAAGGTTTGGGTAGCAGGGGGGCTGCAGTGGTGGCCTCTGAGAAGAAGCCAGGGATTGCCTATGCCAGACATGGCTTGTTCCAGTGATTTCAGTGCAGGACACAGTTGAGTCAGCCTGTTGACATCTCAGTGAAAACATTTTAAAAAGGGGAGAAAATGCTGGATGGAAAGGGAACAAAGACTGAGAAGCAGCAAGGGAAAAGACAGAGGTAAGACCAAGGGGAGGAGAAACAGAAGGTGCTTTATGGTGTAACAGGTATCCACTGCAGCCTGTGGAACACCTGTCCCAGAGCAGGGGATATTCCTGAAGGAACCATTTCCCATGAAGGCGTCATGCTGAAGTAGAGGAAAAGTGAGATGCAAAGATCATCAAAGAGAAAATCGTTTATTTTAATTGATAGTAAATGAATTCATTCACCCAAGTCAAGTCTGTTTTACCCGGAACAGTAATTAGTACGTGAGTTTCCTGCTATAACTTGGCACATGAGCTTTCTCATTCTTCCTGGTTTCTTCCCCAGTCTTGCTTAGGGGTAGCAGGTGGCTGCGTGGGAGTCTGACTGTCAGCCAAGGCTAACACACCCACTACAGAAGTCTCTGGAATTGGAAGCGTGGCCAGTTCTTCTGTAAATGGCCTGTAATGGGTTGTGCAAAGCAAACTCAGAACCATATCTCTGGGAGATGTGAACTGTCAATTCCCAGTGAGGTTTTGAGTTCATTACTCAATGATAATACTGGAAAAAATATTCCAAGGCATAAGGGGGATGGAGTATTCAGTTCCTTTATAATTCAGGTAATACTTGTGAGAACAGTAACAAAAGAAGTGCAGGCAAACTTAGTTAAAAGTAGATACACACAATCATATTTTTGATTGTGCTGTCTCTGATGTTCTTCAAATATTTGGTTGTAATGTAGTTTTCTATGTGGTAGTTTTTTTCTATAGTAGTTTTACTACTTGGGTCAACTAATTAAATCCTGATACAAAATTGTAGTTGAAGAACAGTTCTCACTTATCAGTTGATATCCAGCAAATCTTTAATAGTTCAGATGTTCTGATTTAGATAAGTTTATTGGGATATACTATGCATTTTAGAAATGTTTATATATATTTCAGCTTTGAGTATGCTTTTCTTTTTTCCAGTGAATAACATTAACAATAGAAATGCAGGACAATTCCTAGTGTATTAACAAATGTTTGGAGGTTATTGGCCTTTAGCTGTGCCTCAGGCCTTCATTTCCTCTCAGCTAGTTGCTAATCCCCAGGAAGTGCCCTAGGCCTCAGCTCATTATTTCTTAATTCAACACTAGGTTCTCTAGATTTGCTTAAAAACATTTTTAGTTACCTGACCTAACTTACAAGCTAGCTTGCAGTCTTTCATACTTTACCAAGTACTGCACAGTGAGAGGTTTTATCATGTGCAGAATATTTCTCCCTTCTGGTCATGGGTGGGTGTAGTGCAAATAAAGGAGGAGTAATTGTAGAGCTGGCATGATAACTTCTGCCCCGTTGAGGTTTACTGCTGTATGAAGCAAGTTTAGGTATTCATAGAAGAATATATTTTAGGTGAAAATATTTTCCTAGTAACAGTATTATTGCAAAGGAAAGGAAAATGTTTATAAGGTTTTATATTCTGTCAATATTTGACATATTCATGGAGTGTGGTACTGTGCATTTTGTCCTCCTAACTTGCTGGAAATGGTTTAAGTAGTTTCTCTGCACTGTGTTCTACATGGTGTAGTTTTGCAACTTTTGTCCTCAGTACTTTGATTGTTGCTAAACTTGATGCATTTAGCTTAGTGTTGGAAACATGGAAGTATGTCACTTACTCTTTTCTCATATCTCTCTTTCTCAGAACTCTTCAAGTTATTTTCAGTCTTGTGCTTTAGAACCTAAAATACTAATTTTCATGATTTATGTAATGCGTAGCATCCTCTGTGCTCAGCACTGGTGAGGCTGCATCTCAAATCCTGTGTTCAGTTCTGGGCCTCTCACTGTAATAAAGACATTGAAGTACTTGGGGTATGTCCAGGGAAAGGCAGCAGAGCTGGTGAAGGGTCTGGAGCACAAATCTGATGAGGAGCAACTGGGGGAGCTGTGGATGTTTAGTCTGGAGAAATGGAGGCTCATTACTACTCTCTACAGCTACCTGAAAGGAGGTTGTAGCCAGGTGGAGGTCAGCCAGTTTTCCCAGGTAACAAGTGACAGAGTGAGAGGAAATGGCCTCAAGTTCCACCAGGGGAGATTTAGGCTGCATATTAGGAAAGATATTTTTCATGTAAATGGTTGTAAAGCATTGGAACAGGCTGCCGAGGAAGTGATGGATTCACCATCTCTCAAAATGTTCAAAAAACGTGTGAATGCAGCACTTGAAGACATGGTTTAATGGTGAACGTGGTGATGGTACTAGGTTGACAATTGGACTTGATGATCTTAAAGGTCCTTTCCAACTTTAATGATTGTGTGAGTATCTATAGGCAAAAGATTGGCTAAGCTACAACAATTCTCCAGTCACTGCTGCCAATGAGTGCCTGATGAAAGAAAATAAGTTATGGGCATTTCATAAATGGAGAGAGATATTTTGTGTTGAAATGGGTTAGGTTTGGTTTCCCTTTCAAAGTAATTTCCATAGCAGTAGTAATTCCTCCAGCTTTTTAGGAGAACTAAATAGTTATTCAAATATCACTACTTTTTTTCTTAATACTTAGACTTGTGTTTAGAGGGAATTTTCCCAGTGTAATTAGAGCAGATTAGTAACTCAGCTAATAGTAACAAAACCAGTCACTTCTAAGAGATGTTTTCCACAAGGGTTGTCTTCCACAGGAGTTATGCATACATATGTCATTAACCATTACACTGCAATCATGCTGAGCAAGTTGTCTGCGTGGATTTACCTCACTTAACGCTTACTGTTTTCTATATCCTCATCGATGTTGCCCATATGCTGCACTAGCTGATGCAGATTTGTGGTTCACTTTCAGGGGCTTGGGTTGAGCTGCCAAAGGAGACTCCAAACAAAAACAAGGGATGAGGTTAAACTGATCTTTAATGGTGAAATGGGCAAGAGCTTTCTGTATAGACAGAAGCTCTTGAATTAGAATACAGGAAATAATCAGAGAGGGGATGTACAGAAAACCAAAATGGACTGAAATGATAGGTAAGTCCAAGTGATGCTATGCTGGAAGGTTTTGAAAGGCCTGAGGGTCACTCTTTAAGATGAGCAGGAAGATGGTTATGCAGTTGTTGGCGTAGATGGACTGCATCCTGACTCCTGGGTAGACTCCTAGATTCAAGACAGCAAAAGTCTGAAAAGACAATTTGATAATCAGCTGCAAGAGGTTCTTACATTCATTGGATGACAGAATGGAAGAATAATACAGGTGATGAGAGGCCCGTATTTGAAGGAGTAGTTGCTGATGACTGTTTCAGCAATAAAGAAAAAGGTGACATATAAACTCAGCCCCTTAAAAAAAATAGTGTTTAATATTATCCGTATAGGCTGAGACCTATTTAGCAGCTTCATATTTTAAGAAAGTCTTCTGTAATTCTGTGTTACTAAGATGTTTGCAGTGATTCAGTAGTTAATTCCATAGACTTATTTCAGTCATTATGATAGGATGTCTCTTGGCTTTTTTTCTTCTTCATTGTTCACCCAACTTTGCTAATGAATTTTTAATAAGGATACAGTTCTCTAAAAATTGTGAGTCTTCAAAAATTTATTGTTCACTGTTAGGCTTAGTGAAATTAGTCCCATGAGTAAAACTGCTTTGTGTATGTTGTGCCAGGCTAGAATCTTCCTCAATTTCTGCTATTTTTGATGCAACTATAGAAAAACAACTAACTGAAAATAGGGAGAAAAAAATGATAGTAATGTAGGCCTATTAAAAAACATCCACACCATAACTGCAACAAATAAAAATGGAAATAATAAAAAGCAACCTTAGTTCTGTCTTTTAATAAACTTATCTATATATGTAAATGTTATTGTTTTTCTTCATCTTTTGGATCAATATTTTGTGTTTCCATGTAGTATAAAAAGATTACAGATTTGTGTCTTGGTACAGGTATGTGACTGCTGAAGTGAACTCTGAAGAAGTTTCTTACTGAGTTCATGATATTTGTTTCAGAGAAGGGTTCTTTCCCTCTCTCTTTTCTTTGTAGATGGTTTGGATCGATGATTTGGGTACAGAATTGCTGCAGATATTCAGACTAAGGATTGTAATGTTGGGGTTTTTTTTGCTTATTGGTATAAGAAGTGTTGAATTGCAATACAAGTGTCTTATTTACTATTAGCCATAAAATGAAAGATCACCTTCGAGCCTTGAGCTGAAAATTGAGAATAAGCATGGTATTTCCTCAAAACAGGGAAATTACTTGTGTTTTCCTAGAAAAGTTAATCTGGCATGAAATCAATGATATACTAAATTGGTAGTATAACAATTAATTAAAGTAGATATCGGTTATAAAAATCTCATTAAATTGTTCCATGCAGTCCTCATGTATAATTAAGATCAACAGGAAAACATTTGAAACCCTAATGTTCTCTTTTATTGTATTTGCAGATTCACATCATAGATTTTGATGATGAAAATAACATTATTAACAAAAATGTTCTTCTTCATCAAGTGGGTGAAATTTGGCACATTAGTACCAGTCCTGCAGACAGAGGTGTACTAGCAACCTGCTACAATAAAAGTAAGTCCTTTTAACCATGGTCAACTTTTTCAAGTGTTTTGATATTTTTGAATGTGCGGTTTGAATATCTAGCTATGTGTAAACACCTTAAATTGGAATTATCAACATAATCATTTTTCAAAAAATCTGCAACACTCTTACCTACACCTCATTTGTATCATATCATTAGGTTATCTTGATTAGAAGTCAACTTTTGCAGTCATGTTAAGGAAAGCAGCAAAAGAGACCTCATGCTTACCTGATGAATGCAAAGCATGGCAAATAAAATATATTCCTGTCACTTCAGTACTTATTCCTGTTACTTTATAGTTTTGTTTGCTTTTGAAAGTGGAAGTAAATACTTTTCAATACATGTGCCAGCATCAAGCTCTGCTTGAAACTGCAGGTGAAGTTTGTGTATAATGCTATTTTTCATATGTTAAATGCAGGTATGCCTAGAGAGAGCTATAGCTTCTTACCCAAATATCTCCTCAGTAGGAATGCTCTTTGTCTGTCCTTACACTGAGTGCACAGCTGTTAAGATTAAGGACATCTGCAATTTCTGGGTGAGGCAGGTGTGTAGGTTTTCTGTCATAAGGCTTGAAAAATCTACCTGCATCACTTGGGAAGGGGATACTTTTTCTCTCTGACAAGGCAGAAATCTGTGCTGTCAATTGAAATAAATGTTATTTCTTATAGTAAATACTAGTCCATTCTTTCATGGAAATATGGTCCAAGAATAGAAGAATAAGGTAGTGAGTTCAAGGCATAATGCATCTG